GTTACATTTTTGTAATGAATATTCTTAAATGATATTGCTGCAAATATGCATACAAAAAATAGTATTTTTGTAATTGCCTTAAAAAATTTTTGTTTTCCTTGAGAAAAAACTGCGTCAACTTGTGAGCACACTTGGTTAGATTGGTTCAAAACAAAAGTCAGACGATGCGATTTCGAGGTTATCCTCAACTCAAGTTACTCTTACTATAAAATAAGTAAAACTTTAGGTTATAAATATAATAGTTATATAGTTTGTTCAGACTATAACTTACGAGTATATCTGAACCATTCTAATCTTGGAAGCGATGTGGACAAATCTATTTTTTCTTTTACCAAAAATGTTTTTTTTTATATTCACGGAAAATGCTTTTACATGCCCTATACTATTCGTGAAGAATACTTTATTAGGATAACACTTTAAACGTCTCGTTTTAAAAACACTTTACACATACACATGAGGTATCCATATAATAAAATGATAAAGAATAAAAAAAAAATCCAATATTAACTTTTTAAATAAGAGTTTATTAAAGTTGGCAAAATGTATAAAACATGACTCGAGTGCAAAAAGAAAAATCGGAAACGAAGAAATATTTTGTGGGGTCAAACGGTCAACGAAAGAAGAAGACTAAGGATTGACATAAGTGGGCCTAAGGTAAAGGCCCATATAGGTCACGTGCGTGGAGTTTTTTAAATAAGTGGCCTTTCACCACCGACACCGTCCAAACAGACGTCGGCACGAACCAACACCGACTCGTGCGAGACACGCGCTTTCGTACGGCGCGGGTCTTCTCTCTCCTAACTTGACCTTCAAGCTCACCGTTAGGCAACTTTCTTATTTTAATCATTCTTCCATTTATTGGTTTTACCTATCTTTCAGCAATTTCATTTTATATACTTCAACAAGTAGTTATTAATCACGGAACCCTAAATATAGTAATTAATAATCGTGTCTCCATATTTTAACAGTGTTTATAACTTTTGGCTTTACTTTCCAGCTAGTATTAATAGATATATAGTCTATCCATATTTCGACTGGTCAAATAGAGGTTAAAGTATTTTTAAAGAAAATCAAACTCAAATTAGAAGGGTTTACTTCTTTTAAACTATTTTATCATTAGACCACCACCACTTAATTTATCAAAAAAATTTAAATAGTTTTTTTTCCATATTAGTAGTAGTATCATTATACAAATTTTCACACATATTAAAAAATATTTTATTTTTATTAATATATTAGTACTAAATTTTTATTCAAAGTTATGTACTGG